ATAAGGCCCGGGGGGGCGAGAAGGGGCGCAAACGCCCCAGAAGCCCCCTCCTGCAGGTGCCGAGGGCCCTGACACAGGGGGGGGACAGGCCAGGTGGCGGCCATCCTCGGCGGAACAAGGATGGGGACGGCAGAACCAGCGTGCACAACGCCCTCGCCGTGATCAGAACAGCCACACAACCGGCACAACGGCGGCGCCTCAGTCCCGAGCCACAGGTGCCGAGGGCCCTGATAGGGCGGGGACGGGACGGTTTTTCACGGGGGGCCGCACCCAGAAGGCCCGAGTGCCGGATGTCTGGCAGCACACCGCAACGCCAAGGGACACTCCCAGGAGGCAGCCGATCCCACTTCCGGCGCCCAACATCATCAAGCAGGACCCGGTGGTTTTCCACAAGAGCTCGGTGGGGCTGAATGAAGGGGGCCAACGCCTTTCAGCTACCCCCCTGACAAGTCCAACGGAGCCGTCACCGGGATTGGACATCTTCCCGTGGATGGAGAACATCCCCGAGCGTCTGGTACAGCGGCTGAGATGGACACAGGGCACATCGCCCAAAGTTCCATTCTATGCAGGCAAGGAAGACCCAACTTCCTTGGACAGCTGTCTTCATGCCAACTACCCACACCTTTCCAGCATGGTGGTGGCGGTAGACATCCTACGGTCTGGACCAAAAGGGGACCACGATATGCTCCAACCCGAGCTGTATGGAGCTCTTTGCACGGCAGCAAAGCAGGGCCGAGTGGTCTTCATTGGAGGAGGACCCAACTGCAGGACAAGGTCCATCCTGCGCCACATACCAAAACCGGGGGCTCCCACCCCGGTGCGAGGGCGCACTCCAGAGACACTTTGGGGCCTTCCACACCTGGACCAGGCCGCCCAGACTCAACTTGATGATGACAGCATCCTCATTCTGAGACAGATGTACATCACCAGCCTGGCAAGGGCTCACGAGCGGCGGTTTCTCTGCCAGGGCCCAGGTCCTTCCTGGAACACCCGGAGGACCCAGTGGTGAGCAGCTCGCTGCCCAAAGCCAAGGAATGCTTATCCTTCTGGATGACAGAGGAGGGGCAGCTTTGGATGGAGGAGAACTCCTTGACAGCAATCTCCTTCGACCAGTGCCGCCTGGGCCAGCTGGTCAAGAAGGCCACTACGCTGGCCACGGATCTCCCGATCCAGGACTGGGATCAAACATTGTTTTTTTTTTTTTTTTTCTTTTTTTTTTTTTTTTTTTTTTTTTTTTTTTTTTTTTTTTTTTTTTTTTTTTTTTGTTTTTTTTTTTATTTTTTTTTTTTTTTTTTTTTTTTTTTTTTTTTTTTTTTTGTTTTTCTTTTTTTTTTTTTTTTTTTTTTTTTTTTTTTTTTTTTTTTTTTTTTTTTTTTTTTTTTTTTTTTTTTTTTTTTTTATTTTTTCCGGTTTGCACGCACATCGTCCACATGTGGGCACCAACGAGTCCTCGACTCTTAGCAGATACCCTTGGGATATGATGGCAGGCCTGGCCAAAGCCATCGCTGTGTCACTCGCAGCGCCGGGGCACATCCGGATCCCCTCACAATTTCCGGGAAACCCCAAGGAACCACCTACGGGGCGGGGGTCGGACCCCCCGGAAGGCCATTCCCCCCGGGGAAAACGGGGGCCCAGTCAAGGAGGCGGTCCCTCCTCATCACACCAGGGCTCAAAGCCCGGAGGCAAGAAAGCCCCGAAGCCCCGCCTGCACGGGCAGTTCCACCCTGAGGCAGACACCGTAAGCCCTCGTGGAACAATGAACCCAGACTTCCCATCTCCCATGCCCCCGATGGCCGGAGATGCGGAACAACTGGGGAAGGAGGGACAGGGGGACCAGGTCCTGGACCGCCCCGAATGCCTGCCCGCTTTCAGGGTCCCACACCTCACTGACCGGGTGGCGATTGTCCAACCCTGAGGGATGGGGGGGGGGAAAACCTTTGTGAGGGAGGCTCAACCCCCCTTTTCGGAAAATTTCCCCATTGGCTACTTTGGGCGCCCTGATCATGACCCTTACCCGGCCCTGGATTGACAAGGTCCGAATGTCCCTGGCATCAGGTGCCACCACACCCCCCTTCCAGGAAGCCGACCTCGAGGAGCTGCGGGCTATCCTAGGACCGAGGCACCTCCATGAACGATGCCCAGGACAACCCTTCCTCCTGGACTTAGTGTCGCACTTGGCATCCCTTTCAGGTGACCCTGATTGGGAGTTCCCCCTAACACTGAAAGAGGGGGTCCCTTTGGGAGTCTCGGACCCTACCTTGACCTCCCCGGGAGTTTGGCCCACTAAGGAGGAGCTTAAGGGAGAAGCCTGGCTGGGGGAAGATCCCCCCCCGCCAGTGGCTCATGATAACTACCCAACGGCTGAACTCTTTGCCAAGGAAATCGAATCAACCTTTTACGAGGAACGAGCCTTGGACATGGTGGACGGGCCCTTCACTCGCTCCGAGGCGGCAGAGAGGTGCCGCTGCAAACCGGAGGAACTTTGCCCGGGCCCCCTTGCAGGGATTGATGAGTCGGACAAGATCAGGACGATCTATGATGGCTCAAAAGGGGGAGCAAACGCACACATCCAGGCTCACACGGAGGAGAAGACCACCGCACCGATGGTTGGAGACTGCCTCCATGCCATCCACTGGCTCAGGACAGCGGCGGACCATCCTCATCTACTCCGAGCCCCATCCTCGGGCACTGATGAGGAACCTCGGGATGTTCACCAGCCGGTGCAGGGGCAGTCCCCAGGTGCCGAGGGCCCTGAGAGGGACCACCACAGCACCAGCCTGCCCCCAGGTGCCGAGGGCCCTGATAGGGGCAGGCGGATGCTGGGGGGAGCAGGGGGGAACCCCTGACGTGGCAGCCGCCGACACAGGGGGAAACCTTCATCATCCTCAAGGCGGATGTCACCAAGGCCCACAGGCGCATAAAAGTGCTCCAGAAAGACTGGAAATACCAGGTGGCCTGCATCCAGAACCGGTGGTGGGTCAATAGAGTGGGCACGTACGGCATGGCCTCGGCACAACTGTACTGGGGAAGAAAGGCATCCTTGGTGCTCAGACTCTTGTACTACATCTTCCCTCAGGTGGACTGGCACTTAGTCTTTGTGGACGACTACTGCTGGGTCCTCAGATGCAGCAGGGCGGACTGGGACGCCACAGCCATCCTGGCCACTCTTCTGGCGCTGGGAGTCCCGCTTTCTTGGAAGAAGACGGCGCTCTCCCCGGTCAATACCTGGTTGGGATTCGTGGTGGACCCAATCACGCCCTGTGTGCTGCTGGCTCCAGTCAAGCACGTCATAATCCTGGCCACTCTCAAACGGCTGGCCCAGGGGGACATCTTTACCAGCAAGGAGGTGGAACAAGCCCTGGGCCGGATTCAATGGGCTACTTCGGCGTGTCCATTGACGAAACCTTTCCTCCAGCCCTTTTGGAGCTGGAAGAAGGCCTGCACCACTTCGGGCAGGCCACCGAAGCTGGTTCGTGCTCTGGCCATCCTTCTGGGGAAGCTCTTCAACCAGAGGTTCCCACTGGCATCTCCATTTGCTCCCGCACTTCCATGGACGGGGGCATCTGATGCGGGAGCTGGCAAACAGGCGGACCATGCATGGGTTGGTGGTTGGTGCTCGGACGTGCCCAACCCCGACAAGTCCCGAGTGAAGTGGTTCCAACACAGAATCACACCGGAGGGCGAGCCGTGGGCCTTCACTACTGGGGACCCGCAGCGGGCGATAGCGGCCTTGGAGCTCTTCGGCCCCCTCCTTTTGGTGAGGGCTGTTCTGCTTTGTGCAGCCGGCTCGGCTTCTCACACTAGGATTCTGGTTGCTAGTGATAACCAGGGAAACGTTTTCTCCCTGCTTAACGATTCCACTCGCAGGATGCCCAATGCGGCCATCCTCATGGAAATTGTGTTAACACTGCATGACCACCAGGTCATGTTAGGACCGTCGCATGTGAAGCGCGACTTTAACACATGGGCGGATGAACTTACTCATCCGGACCCGCAATTTCCGACTGAGAACCGGGTCTTCCCCTCAGTCGAAAGCGAATTGATCAAGCTGATCTTCGCTACTTTCCTTCCTCACCCATGATGCCGGGAGGGCATCCGGTGAGGTGGGAGGATTCCTCCCTCGCTGTGGGAGTGGCATCAATTCTACTCCCATCAGCTGCTGAGGGGAGCTGCCCAGTGGAGCTGGGCAATCCTCCCATTTTGGCACTAATCCTTATGCGGCGTAAAGGATGCACCGTTTCGCGATTAAGGTACCAGTAGCACCAATGTGGTGCTTTGAAGAGTCTGTTGGTTGTCCTTTAAGCAAACCGAGAGGGTGTTTACCATCAACAGAAGACTCCCTAAACTGACCGCAGAGCAGGAGGCCTGATTTTCATACGCGTTTGACTTTCCATCAACATGGATGATTCTCAGAATCTGGGTCATTTCCGTGTTTCCTTGTGGTCTCCTTAAATACCAACCAACAGAAAGTATGAATTTGATTTTGAGAAATTGCCAGATGAGTTTTTCATTTAATTATTTGACTAATGGCCCGCAAAAGACTGGCAGTTCCCTTTGGTGTCCCTTCAAACCAGCCTTAAGAGACCCTCAAATCACATGTCTCCTGGGCTTGACGATGCCATTACAACTAAAGTTGCTCTCTAGACCAACCCCCCCACAAGAAAGTCCGGGATAACTGCTACTGCCTTTTCGGCCTTATTTGGGCTTGTCTTTTTTTGGAGTAACCTTTGCTTGGTTCAAAGGGGCCACCACCTTGACACCCATTCAGCCGGGGTTAGTCGTGTGGCCGCTTTGACCCGGGTAAGGCTTGGAACAGGGTCCTCGAGTCCGGAGAATCGTTTGTGGTGAGCAAAACATTGTCTCGGCCTCAACACCCTGGGTGCGCCAGATTCGCTACTCGGAAAGCTAAGAGAGTGTTCAAACTAGGCGTTCATTAAATGAGTAACATGGTGCCTTTGAGTCGCTGGGGAAGGCCACTGAGACTTTCGGTCCGCATGGAGGCGGGCATGCGCCGCCTCGCTGGAATCGACTTGCCCAGCCGCCTCATGGGGGCCCGGAACCCCGGCTTCCCTGGTCGAGCTGTGGAAACGGATGGGATGGAAAGCATGGCCCGTATGTCGCCCTGAAGGGAATATATAAAGAAATATATATATATATATATGTATTGCCGGCTGCGTTAGCCACTTGGATTCAAGCTTCTGAAGTGGGCTACAACCAACCGTTTTCCTCTTGATGCTCAAAGGTTGAAACCCGCCTTTACCGAATCTGATCGCTGGGCTGGATATGAAGTCTATCGCACCCTGTGGTAGATGGCCCATCCTGGTATTCATGAAGTTTCATCCATCCCAGCTGGTGCAGGAATTTGTCCATCCTCAGTATGGGGCATGTGTTTTTGGAGCCTCGATACGCTCTTCAAGGTTTAAAAGGGAAACAAGCCGGAAATCAGCGTCCCGACCGATAAATGTGGCCCCCGGACCGATTGTTGTGGATGGAACAAGTGCCAAAGAGTGCAATTAGGAGTCGCAACCTTCAACATTCCGTTTTGCCTTTCTGACGGGGAAGGCTTGGGACTAGATCAGTGACAGTCTGTTGATACTTTCTGACCATGAGAGCTGTGACACACTTGGCCCTGAGATGTGACAGACCAGTTTTGCAGTGTCCCGCTTAGTGGCCCAGCCTGTGACTCCGACAGATGTGACTCCGACAGATGTGACGGACCAGACTGCTGATAACACGCCAACGTGGAGCGCAAAGTGTTTGTTTCACGTGACCTTTCTGTTGCTTGAGCTGTTTATGTCTCGCCCGAAAATCCCCAGACTTTGAACTTTCTGGGAAGCCCCCTTTTTTAATGATAAATAAAAGCCATTGGACTTCTTTCGGCAACCCCACTCAGGAAGTGAAATGGGTCTGGATCAAAATTAAACCAGCACTCAACCGCAGGTCGTCTTTGTTTCCATTTACCAGAGCAACTCATTTCGGGGTTACCAATTATTCTTGACAAAGGCGCCATGGGCTCTTGGCTGAGCCCGCTGAGAGGTGGAAGTCTTTCATGCCAGCCTTACGGAAGGCGCAGGACCGGAGTCTCGGGCGTTCAGTTCTGCCTGGGGGATATTGCCAAACGACTAGGCCAGCTTCTGTGGCCGTCTTCTATTTATTTCAAGAATTGTATTCGGTTATTTATTCGGTATATGTATTGCCATAAAGATCAGCAAAGAAGTGGAGCTCTAAGTCTTCAGTTGGCGCAGACACAAACCCTAAGTTCTAGCCATGGCACTCTCCTTCCAAGTGGCGCGGATGAGTGGAGAGACGGTGACGGTGAAGGCCGACCCCAGCACTACTGGATGTACGGAAGAGGGCGGAGGAGCTGCTCAAGGTTCCGTTAAAGCTGGTCAATGTCAAGGATGGCAGTCTGCTTGAGGATAGCAAGACCGTCTGCGAGACTTGTCTGGTGGAGAGACGCTGCAGGCAGTCGCGGCTGATCTGGATGACATCGTGGACAGGATCAAGGCAGGGCTTGACACGTCTGCTGAGTGTTGTGGTGTACAGCGATCCGGTGACTGGGCCATCGTGAAGACAGTTGATGAAGGCAGGAGCGACGATGACGATAACGACTACCACAATGAGAAGCTCTACCACCTCCCTTCCTGGGCACCAGGCTCGGAACCCGTGATGAAGACGTACTGGAGCAAGCACGGGGGGATGCGCCCTACCGGTCGAGCCGCCAATGGCCAAAACGGTCACAGGCAGCGGGGACCGTGATTCTTCCGCACATGCCTGTCGCAACAATTCGAATCTTCCCGCAAATCGACGTCCAGAGTAACACCCGGAAAAAGAAATGGCGCCCTTATGGAGCCCCGGATCTCTTGTTCCCAGCTCAGCAGAGTTTGGCGAGCTCCGTGGTTTCCATAAGCTCATTATCTGTCTTGTCGATGATCTCGAGCACCCCGGGCTTTCCGAATCGAACGCCCCTTCGAAACTGTATTTCGGACGACTTCCGAGCTTTTCTGTAATAGGACTTACCAGAGATAGCGGTCCTCCTGGAACAGACCACCGGGCACGAAAGCACAAACAGATGCAAAGGACTCACAATTATTGCCGCAGCACAGCATACCACAGCTCAAAACAGTGTTCGAAGGTGACATGAGGCGCTGCGCAAGCACGCAAAACGCACGCTTGAATCCCAACAATGCTTAAGTGTTACAGACTTGAAGCCCTCATCTACACGACACTCGCCACCGTCGGTCAAGTTTGCGTGGGTATCTACGCGAATCTTCCTACGTCCCCTCCATGAAGTGTGATCATGGATTCTCGCGAAGACTATAGTAGCTTGCCTGGATTTGGGCTATTCAACATTCCTGCCCTTCACACAGAGACGTATAAATACTTTGACAACAGGTTGGCCTATACCAGCTGAGGCCCCCAAGAACAAGGATCCACCAGTTAGGCTGTCCAGATTGTCAAACTTGGGGCCGTTTCCTTTGAAGCTTGTGCTACGGAGAAGCTCCCCCCAAAATACGATGGGAATCGTTTCGACGCTTGGAATGACTCGAACTCTATGAGATGCGAGGGGCTTTGATTTGGGGGCCCATGTTTGGGTCCACCCGCACGCATCCAGAATCAGAAGGCCGAGAGCTTCCGAGTTCTCCCATTTGGTTTTGCGCACATTTGCAGCTTGGGTGTTTGCTCGTTTGCAAATTGGCAAGAACGCAGCTTTGAATTTGGCTTAGTGGATCGGGATGTGATTTCCTGTGAAACGAGTTGGGTAGAAAATGACCAGGGCCTCTGTTGGTCCGCATCCCGAAGCTTCGCACAGTTCGCTTTTGGCCCTTCTTTTTGCCAGGTTCTTAAGCATGTTTTCATAGTCCTCTAAAGGTTCTTTAAAGGGCTCAGGAATGTCACATGCTCTTGTTTCCATTTTCTTAGGGGTGTTCTTCTACCAGATCAAAGTTTGTTTGAGTGTTTTGTTTTTTCTTATCTTTTTTTTTGGGGGGGGTTTCTTTAAGGGGGCTCTTCATATGTATCCTTAAAGGGATTTTCATAGGGATCCGTTCGTCCGTTCGGTTTCCAGGAAGTTCTGTCCACGTGCCGGCGCTGGTGGACAGCGGCTCCGCCAACTCCGCCGCTGGGTTCGACATGGGCCTTCGGGTGCGACAGGTTTTTCAGAGCCGAGATGCGTCCCATGATTGTCCCATGTGACATATTGTCCCATCACCTTTTTCATGATGAATGATTTTCAAAGATTGGCCCACACCTTCCCAGAATGTTGAATGATTTTCCCAGAATCAAGCAGCTCGGGTAGAGAATTTCTGTTTTTGTTCTTATGCGCCGATTCAGTCCCACTTTTGCAACCGACTCTCAGTGGTGAAGCAGACAACACAACACGCAGCTACCACATGGAGCCCGAATTGTGGGAAGCAACGAGAAGCAACCCGTTGTTTGGGGCTCATTTTAGGAATATCTAATTAAACCACGTTATTTAGGACACGTTGCGTTTTTTTGTCCAGTGGCCCGCTACAGATTGACATGGAACTAAGCATGTATCCGGAGTCCACACCTAGGTGCTAATTTTCGTTGAGCGAGACACTGTTAAAATTCCATCAAAGAAACATCCACGCCGCAGCTGTGGATAACCAACAGAGGACAATCGAGACAACACCTGGGGCGCTCGCAGATATGGCGAGCTCGCCTGTTAACACGAGCTCACTGCAAAGCTCCATTACATGACTGGCATTCCTTCACTTGGTTTGGATGTTGTTGTTGTTTTGTTCGAAAAGAATGGTACGATTCAATAACCTCCTGTTCAATATGGGGTGTCCCTGGTTGAGTGGGGATTTCTCAGTTCCAAGCTCCTAGGAGGGGCCTCGGGAGCACAGCCGAAGGTTGTGAACTGGCCAGCTGCGAGTCTGCTCTTCGGCATCAAGCAAGGTGACAAGATCGTGCGCCGCCAGGCTGAAAGCTCTAAGCGGCCACGCCACTTGAGGGTGTCTTTTGTTGAAAGCTACCTCTGTTTCTTTGTTCTTCAGTTTTTGAAAGGCAAACGAGAGGAACACTGGGTGTTGAGATGGAGTGACTTCGGGGTGATTTTGACCAAGGACAAAACACCATTTGACTGATATGGGGCGCCTCCATTCTAGATCCGGAATCCGGATCACCTCAGGAGAACAGTCCCGAATCAAAATCTCTGAGATTGATTGATCCGCGGTTGTCATCAAGGTGTTGTTTTCTTCCGCTGCGCGAACCCGCCTTCGCAGCAATCTGGTATGAAATTAGTGAGGCCTACACGTAGGGCGAATCCTTCGGCCTTCGGGCACCACCACAGAATCAGAGTTCCAAGCCAAGAAGAAGCCTTCGATCAGACGTCTAAGTACTGGGCTCGACCGTTTCGACTGCGAAAGTACTCAGCGGGACTTGGTCTCTCGTCACGCAACACTTGCTGTGTGCAGAGTGCCGCAAAGTCTTTGGACAGGCTTGCTCAAGATTGCCAGTCTACTTTGGGGACAAGGGGAGGACTAGTTCCAGTTGGGTTTGATCAGTCAACGGGTGGAAGGTCATGGTTATATCCCCTTTTTAACCGGGACCCATTACCTTTTTCGAGGGAACCCCCGACATGTTGGCCCTTTTGGGGACCTTTCACCCTACCCTCCCACCCTCCCCTCCAACCTTCCCACACTCCCCTCCAACCTTCCCTCCCACCCTCCCACCCTATAACAATCCAACCCTCCAACCCTCCATATATTTTTTTCTGCTTCTACCGGCTCGTTGCAGTTCGGGCACCCCGAAGCCATGGGACCAAGGCGACGCCCCGCGGATACGAGCCATCGGAGCCGCACGCTTGGCGCGCATTTTTTGTGTTTAGAGGCCTTTTCAAGGCACCCCTTTTCACTTTTTTGGGGGAGGGGTGCGCTCTTAACATGGACCAGAAAAGGAACCTAGTGGATCCCCGCATCCCCCCAAACAAACATGGGCAGAATCCTGCAGGCAAATTGGATGAACCCATATGAAAAATGGGATAAACCACCTTGCCAACTGGTGCAGGGTCTTGTCATTCCACAGTGAGGCAACTAAAATCACAAATCATGGGAAACAGCGGTGAGTCTCCTGCTATTCCGCCATGGGGAAGGTTTTACCAGAACTAGGCCATGTTGCCCTTCAGCGATTTTCTGGTTGCTTGACGTGTTTTATTCGAGCTTCCTCCGGAGCGCTGTTGATTGGACAAGCCTTGCCTTGTCTGAGGTGGGCGGGGGGACCATCGACATGCCGTTGCTCCGCTTCTCCATCGGCTTAGTGGGCGAAGGCCAGCAGAGCTCTCCTGTCGTTCCCCCATCCATGTCCAGGACTAGGGGTCCAACCGGAGTTGTTCCATTGGAGGAACCACGGTTTCCAACGGGAAGCCCGTGTTGTGGGTTGGAGACCGACCCAGATAGAGGTCTTGGTTTCCCTTGACGCATCCGCGTGGAAGAATGTGGGTGTTGCCAAAAAATGAGCGCCGCATGGGCTCCGGCCACGCAAGAAGTGTCTAGTGCAACGCATTCCTAGTGGGTGTCCTATAACCGGGGCCCGGAGAGTGGTTTCCCCATCGTTTTCATCTAAGCACTTCCAGACATGTGCCTTCAACGAAACAAACAAAGCCCTTTCGGCATCACCAGCATCAGCATCATTTGCGTCAGTGGAGTTGTTCTCATGGTGGGTGTTCCCCCCCAAGCATCCTTTGCATCGCCTGGGTGGCAGCATCCCCGCATACCCCGCACGAGTATTTGTGCGACCATGTCGGCATATCCCAGCCCAACAAACCTTTTTTTCGCATCCCACTCGCATGCATGGCCGACGTGAGACTGCTTTGCCATGCGCTTCACCAACGTTACCACGCTCATTAGCGACCGTGGAGCCGTTTTGGAAATGGAACATGGGCAACATGGGAGCCTTTGGACACGAAAAACCAACAAAAGTGGGCTGCTTACAAAGGCAATAATGAGTCGCTTGAAAATAGGAAAAAAGTGAAACGACTTGAAAGGGAACCAACGTAAACCAGAGGCTAACAGCACTTTGAAACCAAAAGGCAGAAACAATGGGAGGGACTTTGCAGCGGGAACCAACATGAGAAGCAACCTAAGCCTTGTCCTGTACCATATTTGAGCTTGTCTTGAAGCAGGATATGGAACCCACGAAATAGTTGCTATATAGTGGCTTTGGTTGTCCTTTATTCAAGGCCCAAAACAAGACACCCTGTTAACAAACAAAATGAGGGAAACAACATATCATATGTTGGGATTTGGATTCAACAGACCTCGCATGAGCCACCATGGGTGTCTCAAAATAGGTGAGCCCCAACTTGCTTGTGTTTGTTTGGACTGACGTGGACCCCAAACGCAAAGACACGCCTGATTGTAGTTCTGTGTTGAGCAAGTCTCTTCAGGCAGTCTCAGACTTTTTCCTGAACGCAACGGATGCGGCGAGAAACCGTGTTGTAGTGACAGTGTCCTTTCCTTTCAACTTTTGGAGGGATGGACCGTCAGGAGACTCATGCGCCCCCCATGCGCCCGGATGCCCCCCCCCCCCCAAAGGCCCCCCCAAAGGACCATGGCAGGTGACTCGCTGCCGCCCTCTCCAGTTCGGGTGGCCATCGGCGATGCGGAGGCCATGTCAGGGTGGTGGGGGAAGCCCGAGGAAGGATCACTGAGGGTCCCTTAGGCAATGGCCTCACAAAGAACACCCCTTCTAATAAACGAAAGAGAAGAAAACATACAAAGACAAATTGACACACACGCACACATATTTGGGGCAGACAAACAATCTCCCTTGCCACCAGGCAGGTGGTTTTTGGATGTATCCTTCCAGGAAACGACGATCCAAGAACAGGAAACTGGGGGGGACTACAGTAAAGGATCTGTCTCAAAATGGTGAATCTGCTTGTGGTTTGTGTTTCCACCCATTTTGGATTCCTTTCAGAAATTTGAGCAAACCAAACAATCGCCGGGGCCACTGAACCCAAGCCCGGGTTGACTCGGAGGTCTTTGCCGAGATCTTTGGTAGAGAGGAGTCAGGCGGGGTCGGAATGCAGTTCTGGTCCTGATGAGATTCTTGGTCATTTTGAGTTGGGGCAAAGGTTTCAAAAGGAAAGTCTCAAATTGTGTGATGGTTTTTATTTGAAATCACGCAGCTGATTTTTTCATGTATTCCTAGCATTGACGGGGAAGTCTTGTTTGCCCGAGATTCTCGGTACCCCTTTTAGGGATGGTTTCCAGAGGAACCTACAGGAACACCGAGGCAATTTGTTGAGCCCCCGAAAGACGAGCCACCCACGCGTATGTTTAGAGATGTGAAAATTCGATCCCAAAGGAAAACCAAATTACAAAGACCAGGCTTGTGTTTTTTGTTTTGCAAGTTTGACATGGAAAGGGTGTTTTTTTTGCCTAGCCCTGGCACAGAGCTAGCCCTGGTTGGTTGGTTGGTTGGTTGGTTGGTTGGTTGGTTGGTTGGTTGGTTGGTTGGTTGGTTGGTTGGTTGGTTGGTTGGTTGGTTGGTTGGCGCCTCGGTAGGACGAAGGTTTGGAATGGGTACAGGGTAGGTTTAGGGTAGGTTTGGGGTAGGCCGTTTGGGTAGGTTAAGGCCCGGCATCGTTTTAACATCCTCAGCATTGTTTTCAACATCCTCAGCATCACCAGGCTTTGGTTGGCTGGGTTTAGCCAGGTTGGCTCAGTCTTGGCTCCAGATGGGTTCCAGGCCTATTGAGAGCAAATTTGGGGGTGGCTGTGTGGCTGTGCTTGAGGTGGCTGGTTTGGTGCTGGTTTATGGTGGGGCTTCTTGGGGTTGGTCTCGGATGGGTGGGTTTAAAATTGGCTTCGGTCGTGGTTGTGTTTAAGTTCATAAACACAACCACGACCGCAGCCAATTTTAAACCCACCCTAAACCAGCCCTAAACCCATCCGAGACCAACCCCAAGAAGCCCCACCATAAACCAGCACCAACCATCCACCTCAAGCACAGCCACACAGCCACCCCCAAATTTGCTCTCAATAGGCCTGGAACCCTACACGGACTACCCTAAACCCACCCCAAACCTTTGTCTGTTAGTGTCTCCTTTCATGCACGCCAGGCTGTGCCAGGGTTAGGCTAATGCCAGGGCTATGCAAAAAAACATACTCCGGGGCTGTAGCAGGGAACCGCGACCAGGAGATTCCTGCTCTGACGTCAAAGAACACCATGTTTTGGTAAGTCTCCAAATGGATGGAAGCTCCGACAAACCGCTAAGAAATGGACTCCCCAAACTGCGTGGATTCTGGTAATCCCCAATTGGTGGTTTGGATTCGTTTGGGGATTTGAACCCCTGCTTCTTGTTGATGGTAATGCGAAGCTACCCGTAATTTACCAAACATCAAGAGAAAAGCTGATGGATTCTTGAAAAAGCCACTCCTTTAAGCATAGGTCTCTGGGCGGCTTTTTCTTAGTATTGGAAGTCTTTCTTTAGGGGACCCCTACAAATGGTGGTTTTCCTTACTACCAGCAACCCCAAAAAGGTGTTCCTAAAAAATGGGGAGCTCCAAAAACCCACCAGCAACCAGCAACCAACCAGCGGACCTTGCTAGGTGGGTGGCCCTTCGGCCTTGGCACCAAGCCTCTGAAACCTGCCGCCCTCATTGGCCAGGCGTCGAATCGGCCAAAACTCAGTGGGTTTTGGTTCGGGCGATTGGGGTTCTCGACTTCTAGAAGCCGTTGGATGGCCGGAAACCTTAAAGATTGAAATCCACTTGGAGAAATCCCTCATTTTGAGAACCCCCCCGTTTTTTTCTTGATTGGCTTTGAATAGGGCTTCATTCATCAGCAGGAAAACAGGAACTACAGGAAGTGTGCCTACTCCCCAGAAATACGGCTTGCAAACTTCCTATGGGTTTCTTGCTTTCTTGGATTCCAGAAATTTGTCTTGAAATAGGGCCCCCCCAAATGCAAATGGGACCGGTGTTGAGCCCTTGCAGCCCGAGGTACCTTTTAAAAAGAATACCGAAGAAACCTCCTGTGTTTCACCAAATCCTTTCGCTCGAGAAGTTTCCAACGCTGCAAACTCCTTTTGGCCCCGGCGGACTCTGCTTGAATGGCTCTGAGGCTTGGGACCTTTGAGCCGAGCGAATTGTTTGTTTTGAGTCAAACAAGTCATGTGAAGCCGCCAATGCCCGTAGACGGTTTGCTCTATAGGAGAATCATGGGGGTATTGGGTATTGATATATAGCCACCAAAAGGTTAGACACGGACCCTCAAGGACCAAGCTCATGTACAACTTCCATTTGCTTAATGCCTGTTTTTCTGATTTCCCGCTGGATTTAAAGGACATTTGTCACTACTGGACATTTGTTCTCTTTTTTTTACCGGATGGAAAAAGCAAAGGGAAGACAACGTCGGGTGTGTGTGTGTGTGTGTCCATTTTCCCCCCCAACAGGTGCGGATAGGCGTATCCAACTCCACACCTGCGGTGGGTTCCTTGGACCTGTGCAAGGGCCCCGAAGTTTGACTCCGAGACTCTTTGGACCTTCGGTTCCTGTATTTCCTTAAGCATCACCAAGAGGAAACTCATGTGGGACATCCCCCGCCCTGCCCTACTGTGGATGGAAAAAGTCTGCTTCGCACCCGTCAGGTGTGCCTTTTGTGTAGGGACCACACACTTTTCTGGCTCAAAGGATCGGCCAAATGTTAAGACCACCCCTTGTTTGGCTATGCTTGGATCCTCAAAACTTCCAACTTAAAAATGGGTTCTTGCCCCAAAGTCTGGGGTGAATTCCCTTTTGATGGGTAGCTTCAGGGTTCAGCAAGTTCCCTGGATTTCCTTCCAAAACGTTGATCAATTGACCGGTTTCCGTGGAACATGCTCACTTGAGGTTTCACATAGAGAAACGGGTATGGGTCAGAATGACATCACCAGGGGACCGCAGCTGTTGGTCCTTGTTTCCTTTTACCAGGGTGTTTTTTTACCTATTTTTGACCCACGCCCAACTGCTACCCTTTTGGGGTAGCTCGAGGGTTCAGGGTGCCTGGATTTTTCCCCAAGTCCCTGGATTCCTCGAAAGTTGCAATTGACCCGTGATTTCCCTGGAAAGTGCCACTTTTGGAGGTTTCCCCAAGGGGAAATGAGAGCAAAAAAGATAAACCGAGCGAGCGGTCGCCAGGATGTGCTCTCCCAACGGCGCCACAGCTTTGTGGCCGCTGAGCCGGCGCTCTACGTGAGCCCCGGGGAGAAGACCGAAGGCGTCGATTGATTGGGCTGGGAAGGCGTCGATGGGGTTGGACTACCACAAAGACGTAAAGGGAATCCACCAACCATCATTTGGGGGCAAGAACATTTTTTCTCAGGGGATTTTGAGGGTACATGTCAGATGTGGCTGCAATTGATGCTTCGCATGGTTGGTGCTTCGTTTTGCTTTGGTTTTGCTGTGGCTTTTTGTTTTGGATGCGCATGGAAGTTGATTGGTAGTTGGCTCTTGGTAGTTGAGCGTGGTTCCCTTCATCACATGTCCAACCCGTTTGGAGTTCGCATCGCTTTTGATGAGACCGGAGGTAGGAAGGTACTGAGGCGGTCTTGGAGAAGGGGATCGCGGTTTTTCCTTACGTTTCACTCCAGCTTGAGCGGTTGAGCCGCGTGGCTGTGTTTGGTACCCCCGAAAAAAAAGCACCCAAGCGTTGTTTGTGCGAATCCACTCCAGAAGACCTTGAACTCGCTTTTCAGATCCTGGAGTTGGTACCATTGCGGCATATTGTGGTCAAAAGACTCGCCGTGGCCAGGATTGACCACTTAAGCAGTGCAGGAGTTGGTACCCATGAGGCCATCGTAGCGTCCTTCTCTTGGGAACCCTGTCTTTTGCGTGTGTCTTTTTCGAGGCTAAGCTCAGTGGGGTGGGTTTAAAATGACACCACCAGGAAACCCGTTTCTCGGGGTCCGACCGTTCACGCCTGCTTGCCCGGGCTGAAATTTGCAGAATCTAGAACTTTCACCCATACAGCCCCTGGCAGTTGTGGATATTTTGTTGGACCGTTTTGGGTGTGATATCAAAGCAATTCTGATGTCATGCAGATGGCCCACTCAAGGTATCACATGTTTGGCAACCATGGGGCAACTATGGGACAGCCCGGCGGTGAATGAATCAGTCAACTCCTTGTTTTGGTCAAAGTCCAATGGGAAACCATCCATGGGTGAGAATTTGGAGGCAAGTCCAGCCGGGCTCCGATCGGATTTTCGAGTTCCCCCAAAAACCACCCGCAACAAAGACTACTCCCTCTCAGCAGTCTTAGCTTTGAGAAAAGACAAGAGAATCCCAAAAAAGCAAACCGACCAAGTATTCTCAATCAAAGACACACCCATATTGCTTCCGAAGGCCACTCGGAGAAAAAGAAACAAAACGGTTCTCTTTAAATCATCCACGGGAAGCAGACCTATGCCTTTTAGCATCCAAAGGGACACATGGCTATGTCTTTGTTTGATATCCTTTTGGGAGCGTGGGCCATATTGTTTCCCACCCCCCCTCCCCCCAAAAAGAAAGAAAGAAAGAAAGAAAGAAAGAAAGAAAGAAAGAAAGAAAGAAATAAAGAAAGAACAGAAAGAAAGAAAGAAAGAAAGAAAGAAAGAAAGAAAGAACGAAGAACACTCCCACACAGAAAAATAAATGGGGCCATCCACAAATGATTTTTTTGTTGTTGTAATATTGGGTGGTTCCACCTCCTGGTTACCAATGCAAGGTGACTGGATCCGGATGCAAAAAGCGAAGGGCGCCGGCCTCAGGGAAGCTGCAGCACATGGGCGAGGGCGACTGCGTGGACGCCTCTGGCCGGCGCCTGCCTGGGCTTCAGAAGCTAGGAGCGGACCGGCGTGGGTATGTCGCGATGGGTGGCTCGTCTTTTGAGGGTTGTGCTAAGGGTTGCCGGTGTTCTTGGTTTTGAGGGTAAGCAAAAGGAAGCCACCCATGTTTGTTCGTTCTCTTTTCTCTGAGAGGGGCGGGGGTCTCCTGTTTTGAGACGTTTGCTTAATGGTTTGAAAGGGAAACCAAAAGGAAAGCCGAGCCATTCATTTTGGGGTTCCCTAAAAACAGACACCCAAACAGTGGTTTTCTGAGGCAGTTGGTTTTCTTTTGAAAATTCTCTTTGGATTCATTTGAACCAACCTAAAAAGGGGTAATGAGCCTCAAAATAGCACACCCGCTTGATGGTTTACACCTGCCATCAACCCCTTTGGGGGCAGAGTGGAAACCATCTTAAACAGTCGGGAATGTGTCAAACATAGGGGGCCGGAAAAATAGGTACTAGGTCCACGCCCTAACTCGTATCGGACCCCGAAAGTCGTATCTGATGAGCGTGCCTCATGGGGATTCCCAGTTTCTGGGTGCATCTTTGTTGTGGACCCACTCGATGATTGGCATGCGCTTGTCAGCGTGCACCATGCAATTGCCTCGTATAGCGGCTCAGCGTGCCTTGCACTAGATCTATAGAAGCAGCAAGCGCTGCAGTCAGGCGTGCCATGGCTTACAGCGGAGTGACGCCTCGCAAAAGACAGTGGGGTGATGTGGTCACTCCAGAAAAGGCAGCTCTGTGCTACCAGTAGCTCTGTTTTTTTTTGTGCCGAGCTGTGCGGATTGCAGAGGGCCCGGCACAGCGTTTGCTTAGACTATGTTGTGTGGTTTTAGGCTGTCCTGTTTTGTTGGTCGTGGTGGTGGTGGTGGTGGTCGTGGTGGCGTCGGTGGTGTTGGTGTTGGTGGTGCTGGAGTTGTTGGCGTTGGTGTTGGTGTTGTTGGCGTTGTTGGGGTTGTTGGTGGTGTTCGTGTTTTTGCTGGTGCTGCTGCTGCAGTGGTCCTGTCGGGGGTCAGGTTGTGTTTTTGTTGTTGATTTGCTCTTCCGGGGTTTGCGTCATCTACTCCCTGCCCAGGTCCTTCAAGGTGCTCAGCAACAGCTAACATAGCTGCCACTGAGCGTGGCTCTTGCACCGCGAAGCTCTTCACGGAGTTCGTGGTTCTATGGGAGAAGCACTGCCGAGATGTTCTCAAGGTGCCACGAGAACAGCAGCTGGTGCTCTTGTGCGACAGCGGAGGGGGGTCCCTGATCCACATGTCAGTGGAGCTTACATTGGTCGCTCACCAATTGGGCATCCGGCTGTGCATTTTGGGGCCTTACTTGACAAGGGCGTTGATGCCCTTGGACCAGCTGCCCAACGCCGCTGCCGAGAGGGCGTGGGAAAACTGCCGGCGGCAGGGCAGTGCTTCCAAGCACTTGGAAGCACTAGATTGCGCTCATGAAGTATGGAGCGCTGGGTACTGTGACGCTCGGTTTTGTTGATCAGGTCAGGTTTCTTTTTACTGCTTTACTTGCCTTGTCCATTGAGTGCTGGGAGTCAAATTGGTTCGCAGCTGGCGCAAGCTGAGGAGAAGAATATTCTCTCTGGCTGGAAGCAAACAGGCTTCGTGCTCGACTGTGCCATTTCCAGAAACACCGCAAGGTGCTGAGCAAGGAGGAGATGGACGTGGAGCAAGCTGAAAGCAAGCTCCTGTTGGCTCGCCCCACCGGCTACCGGCGAGCGCCGCAGACGGCAACGTGCTCTGAATGCCAAAAGCAATGCCCCACTGCGTACCCAAAGTGTCCTTGGTGCGGCAAGACGAATTCGTCTTACAATGAGATCCGCAGTGTGGTGTCTGCCGGTGCACGCGCAGGTGGCTACACTCGGACCCAGCAACCGCTGGCAGATGTCGATGCTGTGGTTGCAGGCGTGGAGCCGGCTGCAAAAGCGCACATCTCCAAGTTCTGTGGGGACGTGCTTGGAGAGATGAGGAAGAGAAAGAAGGCCGACGAGGACAAGACCGGCGAGGGGAAGGCCGCGCCTGCCGCACCAGCGCCTGCCACACCGGCGCTTGCCACACCGGCTGCCACACCGGCGCCTGCCACACCGGCGCCTGCCACACCGGTGCCTGCCACACCGGCGCCTGCCACACCAGCTCTGAAGAAGCAAAAGCCTGGGAGCAAAGAAGAGGGTAGCTCTTCAGATGACCTGGACTTGGACGACGGTGCCGACGTGATCACTTTCATCCTCAGTCACTGGAAGGAGTCTCAGCGAAAAGCTATAGAGAAGATCGTCAAGTTCTACGTGCAAGATCTGCAAAAGAAGGGCAGCAAAGCCAGCCCGCTCTCGTCTTTGGTCCGAAAAGAGATCATTGCGACCAGGGTGCTCATGAAAAAGAGCACTCGGGAAGGCTGGCTGAAGTGTTGGGAGCACAACCGCAGCTTGCGGTATGTGTGCAAGCCAAAGCTGGCATGAGAAGCGAGACAAAACAAGGCCTGTTCATTGGATGCATTTTGGGTGTGCGTGCGGTTGCGTGCCCAATGGGGAACCTTTGGTTTGCTCAAGCAGGATCTATGTAGACATGACTGTGTTCCATGCAAAATAGTACAGTTTTTATCCCTTGCTTGGAGGCTTTCAAAAGACTACTTTTGAGACCGCGTGCCCATTGGGAATTGTGATGTTTGATGTGGCTTTTCAAAACTGATGTGACTTTGTTGGAATCAGCGTGCCCATGCAGTGAGGTTACTTTTGCACAGTTGATGTGACTTAGGGCGGGCGCCTAGTATCTTAATTCCCCCTCCTTGGCCATTTTGGTGTGTGATTTTACTACTTGGTTGAGTTGGGGAGTTTGTCAGGGCTATAGCGATCTTCACAACCATGTTGCTAGAGCCAAACGTCAAATGGGGCCACGGTCAAATCAAGGGGCCATGACCGTGCCACACGTTACGTACTCTGATCATTACACCATAAGTTTGACCATGGCACAGATAATCGCGTGATAGAGCTGAAGAACTGATTGTTTCCTGGGTTGTTGTCCCACACGAGGGTGATGCAGTTGACTGTGACTGTCATGGGTGATGCGATGATCACAGTGAGCCGCTCGGGGTGTTTGTGATGTTGTGGGTAGGCCTATTTTGCATGGTGATGGACGTTTGGTGACGGTGCTGGCAATGAAGGTGTTTCTCAAACTACGATACCTCAGTGTTCAAGTTTTGATGCTGATGATATGGGTGAATGTGCTAGTGGTGCTGCTCGGGGAGGTGGACATACAGCTGGTATAGTTGACCATTTCCCGAGCCACACTCAACAAGTGGGTGGGTGAAGGTTAGGTACAGTCCCAACCCTCTTGGTTCTTCACATGATTCTTGACTTCTCATCACCCTTAACGCTCTTGTCCACATTGACGGCTCCCCTGGCGGTTTTAGTCGCGCCGGAAGCGAGCCGATTGGCTTCGCGAGTCTCGTGATGTATTGAAAGAGAAGCATAGTTGGGGGTCCATCCCCTCTTTTCAACTCTTAGCCCCAAAGCATGCCGATGACCTTCCATTTGCTTAAGAGTATTACTTTTCTCCCTCTTGGTTTTAAAGGGAATCTATCACTACTGGAGGTATTTCTATTTTTTCCAGGGAGCTTAAGCAAATGGAAGTGACCCAAATCCAAGAGCTGTGGTTCGGAGTTCGGGGCAGGATGCACTACCGACGATGCCGCCTGGGAGTGTCTCTCTCTGCCCGCAGGCGATTTGGACGCAGCTTGCTGGCGCCAAACCCCCCAGGATCTTGAGGGGGCCCTTCATATAGAATCTGTAGTGGTCACTATATCCCAACCCAGTGGTTTGGAGTAGTGGACACCTCAAGTGAGTTTTGGGCATTTGTGGGAAGGTACACTTAAAGGAAACCAGTTGGATGGTTTTTTCAGGGTTATGTCTTACTTGTTGGTTCTCAGTAAGCAATCAGTCAAGAGGGGGCTGGGAATGAAGCAGAAGATTTTATTTCAAGGAACCGTTGGATGGGCCTTTCGGCGTTTTGTCAGGTAACCCATCGAGTTGGTCTCTAGCTTGATGGATGGTTTCCCGGTGGCGAAACGGCACTCGGGCCCGGTGTCAAGGGCGGACTCGCGTTCGCGAACTGGTTCCAATCGCTACCGAAGGTCAATCAATGGGTCACTCCATGGTCTGCTCCTTCCAGGGCCCTCAACACCTAGGAATCAGGGAGCGGCGTTTTTCGTCAGGCGCCTGCGCCGGCATTGCTGTGACACCTCAGGGGGCTTACCAGGCAGGCCGCGACAAGGGTGTGTTTGCTTGTTTGTCTTTGTTTTGCCGTGTGTTATTGTACTTGGGTGTTCGAACAACTTAGTAGTACATAACCCTGGTAAGGCGACGATCACCCCAGTTTCCCCAGTTGTCACCATGGTTGGAGTATCGCCTTCCTTGATTCGCGAGGTTCGATCTTTTCGTGTGGGCAAAGCTTGTTGACCCTCTTTAGTCGTGAGAATCTGGGAGGCAATTTGGGACACTCGGCTTGTCGGTTTCCAACAGCTCGCTTCCCGAGCTTCTCTTTGTGCTGTTTGGGGTTACCATTTTGCAAAGCCCCAAAACAGTAGGCACAACAATGCTCGTGTTTTTTCCGTGCCTTCCTACAACATCCCCGTCTTTTCCCGTGTCTCCCTGTTTTTTGTCTGGCCCCACAGGCCAAAACCCCACTGCAAACGAATGAGCTTGCCAGGGCCTTTGCTACATCTTCGTCCACCAGGACCTTGGCAAAGACGAGGCAGTGGCCGCGGTCGCCGCGTGGCTCGCTTCTTTGAGGATGCAATTTTTCGGTTGCTAAGGCAAACTGAAAGGAACCTACAGGCCAGTTTTAGCCCCCCCATTTTGACCGCACGCCTATGTTGCTGTCAAAAGAGAGCCCGGGATGTTGATGCTTTGGTGAAACAATGGAACGCGTGTGGGACTTTCACCAGTAGCGACACAACCTGTGCAATCAATGAAGCTTTGTTCCAGACACCCAGTGCCAGTACCTTTCATGTTCACCATGGGGGACGCAACTGACTTGGCATTGCTGAACCTTTGCAGATTGGCTTTGAGCTTCCATTTGATGAGTGCTGGATTTGAGGTCCCAAGTGATTCAGTATTGACGAGTTTCCGTTAGATTTGCTGATTGAATGATTTGAGCCACCAGAAGGGTGGACAATTCAAGTTCCGTTTGGCTTAGTATTGCCCTAGTGCTTTTTGTTTGATGCTTGCTTACTGTTTTGGCCAATTTTTCTCAACAGGGCACACTGCTTAATTTGTCCAGTCCTGGAAAGCAAGCTTGGGTTTCTGATTAATCGGAGGTGGACATGAACAGCGAATACCAAAGCAATGTGACTTTTGCCCCTCGGCTTCTTATGGGGTCTGGGGGACCTTTCTTTGGCTATGGTTTCGACTCAGCCGTTCGGCTTGCGGCACATTGCGCATCCCGAACTCAGCCCTTGCGGACGCTTGTGACATGATACGTGGGTCCAAAAAACGGTTTCTGGGCAAGCCATGTCAGTCCGCCGCATCGTTGCACGAGCTTTCTGATTCCTTGTCTCCTGGAGAAACCCCTATCCAAACCAACCCAAGCCACCAACAAATCACGGTGCTTGACCCCTTTCTTGCAACGTGGGGGCCGATTTCCCTGACCCAGCGTCTCGAGCCTCAGCGAGCGCTTCGCCAGGTCCTGCGGGAGCGGGGCTTCGTGCGGTACCAGGCCCCCGGCGGCCAAGACCTGGCGCCCGCAGGAGAGATGCGTCGCATCGGGATCGGCTCGGATCCGCGGATCCGCGCGCAGGTTTTTTTTTGGTCGGGGTGGCTTTTTCGCCCCGGAAAATTCCAGAATCTTTACAGGGTGGAACCTCCAGGTTTTTCTGGATGTCCTTGAAGATGGGCCCCAGTGTTTTTCCTTAAAGGGTAGGATATTTTGGGCATGTTCGGTGAGATGGTTTGGAAGCCCGGGTCTGGTTCCTTGTTTTTGGATTGGGACCCCCTCCATTTTCGGTGGTTCCTTTGGGTTTCCACCTAAAAAAAACAACCAAAATGGGTTCGCCTCAACACAAAGTCCGAACCCAATCATCAAAAGGCATTAAGACCAAACATGTCAAGCCATCATATCTGATGTTTGTGGGGTGAGTTGGTCGAACTTGCGCAACTCCTAGCAAGATCGAACACAAACAATTCGGTCCTTGGGTTGGCAGCTGCAACTAAGTGGCTGTGGCTCAAAATGAACGAGCTGGGGTTACGCGTGTTTTAGTCTCCGTTGCCATTTACCAAGGAGCCATTCTGGGGAGCAGCCAAGTTTTGAGCAGATCTTGGATTGGATTTTCACACCTAAATCTCTGGGGGTACCTTCTCCATTTTTTCCAGGGATCCTTCTTCCTAGGAAACCTCCAAAAACCCAGGGAAAACGGATCCTGTCTTTGGAAAGAACGATGCTTGAAAGGAATGGGGAATCAAACCCTAGAAAATATGTTTCTTTTTTTTAAGACACCTTTGAGAGCCGCAGCAAACGCCAAACGTGGGGATCTCTCGTAGATCACCTTCTGATGAAATGCGTTAGGCCGGTGTATGGGTGTGTGTGTGTGTCTTTGATGCTACCCGTTTGTTTTTGTTTTTAAACGGGAACTCAAGGGGCCATCCATTTTGATGGTACACCTAGATATAGTGGAGTATCTCGCTTCTCGAATCGACCTTTTGACCTTTGTTTTTCCCCCGTTGGTCCATAATTCAGTCAAAGTGGCAAAAGGTTGGCCTTTTGTATCCAGTCCCTTTTGGCAAGTGAGTTACGGGGCGGGTAGAGGTTTTGGAGGTGGGAGCCCTCTTGGGATTGGGAGGGCGTGGTCTCAACAACAAACAGCCTGCCGAAATGTTCAACCCGTTCCTGCTACTCACTTAAAAACACATGTTTGCATGGGCCCCCTACATCAAGACCCATATGAAACACGTTGAAAGGAAACCAAAGGGAACCCCAAAGCCGCGCGAAGAGACTGGTGTCTTCAAAAGGCACAGCGTCCATCAACCTGAAATCGAGGCCTTTGGGCCATTTTATGTGCTGCAGAAACGTCCCTTTCCAATTGGCTCGTCTTTTTTTCAGAATTCGCTTCAAATTCCTCTGTCCCAAAGATGGATGAACGATGAACCGCTGGGATTCAACCCAATTGCCTGAGAAAAGGGCCGGGGAGAAGCAACAAGCAAACTGGCTTCGGGTTTCCTTCAAGAAAGGACAGACCCAAACCGCCTCAAAAAGGTGCCCTGTCCCACCGAAAGTCTAATATGAAAAGCTTGCCGCTTGTGTTGTGGCCCTGACCAGCTTAAGACATCAGACAGGGAATAATTTATCGAGGGTCAGCATGGGCAAAACCGCACGACGAAAGGTTCGGCAGGCCCTTGTAAATAACCCTGTCCAGCAATATACATGTGTACAGTATACATATACGTGCGTGTGTTTTACACATGTACGTACAGATTTGCCGTTCATGAAAGCTCCTGTCTCCTTGGCCAAGGGGCAGGGCTCCCGATACTTCTCCAGCCAACGCTTTAAGGTGGCCCAAAAGGGGATGTTTGGCACCACCGCCGTTGGCTGCATGGGTCGCTTGTGGCTTGGAGGATCCGTGGTGGCACGAGCCGACGGGACCAAGGATGCGCAATGCTACAAGTGGAAGGAGTGAGGCAGGCAGGTGGAACACTCACCTCGCCCAAGGCGAATTGCCACTATAGCACTATAGCGGGTTGCAAAATTTCTCGGAAAGGTCAGCGCATTCAATCGTGGGATCGCACGCACGTGCAATTGTTTCCTCCACGCTTGGTTTCGTGGCAGGCGCTGTATTTTGGATGGACTGATCTGTGGCGGAAGTTGAGTGGCAGGCGCGACACATTGGGCTGGGGAGCACGGTGCGGAATGTGGATTTCGTGGCAGGCGCTGTATTTTCGATGGAGCTATATATGTGGCGATGGACGTAGATGTGGCGGACATTGAACTTCGTTGCAGGAGAATTCGTGGCAGGCAGCATTTGGGATGGACTGATGCGTGCTGGGATGATGTCCTTGCACGGTGGCTTGTCTGGGGCGCGGAGCGGAATCTCAATTGTGTTGCAGGTAGCGCGTGGCGGAAGCTGATTTTCTTGTTATAGGCGCAACACTGTGGGCTCCGAAGCGTGGAGCGGAAGCTGGGTTCTGTGGCAGCCGCGAAAGCTAATTTTTCCGTCAGGTCCTGTGCTTTCAGGTCCGTTTCCTTTCCTGTTAGAAGCTGTTCAGCTTTCAAGGGTGATTCAACCATATCTCTACATGGCCGGCCTTTTGCATTAGCAGCAGAACGATTCGAAGAACGATTCGATTGCTTTCCACCGGCCTTATCTCACAGGAACGCTTTGCTTCTTGCAGAGCTTGACGCACGGGAACGTGACTGCAAGTCAGCAGCCGAGCGGACTGCAGCGGGGCATCCGCAGCAACGACCGCCATGCGCGCTGAGCGTGCCCAGGTTGGGGAAACACCACTGCCGGCCCTTGCAAGTCGTACACTTTGTGACACGTCGCAGAAAGTTGTCGACCCGCTTCTTGCCGACTGCTCTCAGCACGGCCATCTCCCGCGCCTGAGCCCCATTTGGATTGCAATGCCTAATTCGGACTGGCTCAACGGTAACTTCAACGACGTTTCTGGGTTTGCTGCTATTTCCCCCCCACCCGTCCGCCCCACTTCCCACACCCGCAAACCAATGAGCGCATCCCCCGTCCCCCAACTTCACAGTTCCCCCCAACCCCCCCGCAAGCAACCCGCCTCCCGTTCCGCGTGAATGAGCGCACGTTGCGTTATTGCCCCACCGAACGCATGCGAGCGAACGGAACTATATTATACGCAACTGCCCCGCCTCACCCACCCTTGCGTGTGATGCCAAGACCATCCCAGACCGGTCCATATTTAGGCTACCGCAGACACATTCAATCCTAGGATCGCCCACGAATTGGTTCACAAATTCCTTCGGAGCGATCAGCAAGAGCACCCCTCTAGAGCTGGGTTTCGTGGCAGGCTCCGCACTTTGGCGATTGCGGACTCCTGCGATCACAGAATTGGTTTCTCACGCGTTGCCTGCTGTGCAGATCCCAAAATTGCATGACCAGGCGATCCTGTGACATTCTTAGTGAATTTAAAGTGCTTATCCTTTTCTTGTGCAATGGGGCAAGTGAGTGTCAGCTGCGTTGCTTCAGACGGAATTTGCGATCTCTTCGGAAGGACGAGCCCTTCGAACGAAACAAATGTTTGGGTAGGGGTTGGATCCGTTTCCGGGAAGCCGTTTGAAGGGCGCAGTCCTTATCCGAAATGGAGCTCTCCGCAGAAACCTTGGCACAGAATCGATTTTCCATACAAGAAGCCCTTGGGGGGAAACTGCCAGCCCAACTTTATGATGGATATTTATCACGTGTGGGGGAGAGTCTTCCAACACCGGCCAGTTCCCCAAGTATGTAAATGGGGCATGCCCAAACCCCAATAGATTGGTGCAAAGAGCACAAAGCTGCTCCCTGCATCCCGGCTGAGAGCGCTTGCGCTTGCGAGTGCTTGCGCGTGTTGGCACAGGATGTTACGTGTTAGTCTAAAAGGTGCGTGCGCGGCGCGTGTCATGGACCACCCAGTGCAGCCATAGCTATACCAGTGGAGGCTTCATTTAGGTCATTTAGGTTAACTGCGTGATACCTCCCCATGGCCCCTTGGAGGTCCATGAGAATTGGCGTTTGCCCAGCCGATCTGTTTGACTGTTTCTAGCCAGGGTACCTAAGGAAAAGTCACACCTACCACTTCAGGGTAACTTGATATTGGCAAAGTGATGGGAGTTTTCAAGCGCTTGGCATGTGCACGGCATCCGAGAAACAATGAGCTGCAGTTTCAGCACTGCGCAAGAATTACGACTTGAAGAATGAAAGAGGACACCTTTTTGGATGGTGTCTTAAGGGAAAAGTCGACTACATCCGAACGCCGTTTGCGAATCAGGCTGAGCGTGACAGGGAGCGTGCGCAGATGCGTGACGCCCGCATGAACGTGGAGGCAACGAACCAGTCGGGTCGTTTGAGAATGAGCCGGGGCAAGGCAATTGAAACATCCCGTAAAGGTAAAGGACACATCAGGGAACCCCAAAGAAGGCCGTTTTGCGGATCCTCAGCTCGAAACAAACTAACCCAGTGATGAAGTTTCCGAGTGGTTTTCGAGTGGTTCCTTATTTAGTTTGGGGATTCTAGCATTTCTCCAGATTCACATAGGTGTGTGTGTGTGTGTTTGTGTTGTTGAGGGAGGCTTCAAAGGGAAACAAACAACGGAATCACCCATTTTAAATAAGTGTTTTCCTAGTTTCTTTCTGGGGTGAGTGGGTATCAGTGGCAGCATTAGCAAAGGTTCTTGGCTTTAGCTTGCTTCGGAAGACTACTAAGCTTGGTCGCTTGGTCCCGGGTCTACACACCCTCGTGACTCACGACTTGCCTTCCTTTCATAAAAATCATAGGCGTCGCATGAGAGGAATGTGGGGTTGGTCCAATTGAGCCTCGGCTTACCTGCCGGACGCGCAAACGAGACTCCGGGCCTGGCTTCCCTGGAGCCCAAGGAAGATTTCGCGCCACGCAACCCTGAGATCGATACCGACATACCGACAAACTGCAGGCAAACAACGGCGAATACCCGGTGAATACCAAGAAACAGCGGTCTTGAACCGTGGTTTCAAAGTGGTGCGAGATGGATTTCGCAACCAGCCACTGTATGTTCCTAAGATGAACATGTGGGATGACGCCCGAAAGAAGCCAGCCCGGCAAATCCTCCTCTTCTTTCCATGGTTCTTTTGAGAAACCGCTGAAATTTCCCTTGCTGGAAAGAAGCATCGAAGTCTGAATTCTAGGGTGGTGCAGCTAGCGTAAAGTTTGGCCTACAATGGATGCATCTACACCTCTCCAGATGCCTTTCGCCGGTTTGTCTTGCCAGGTATGCATGGTTTCTAAGCAAAAGCTCCAAGTGCTTTGACCACGTGCAAGGTACCCTCAATCAAGCCAGTGCCAAAGTGGCTGTTCCCAAATGACAATTTGGACATGCAAATGTCTTCCTCTGGACTTTTTGAAAAGGAGCCACCATGTTTTGAAGCCACAGAAGCAACCCCCCAAGTTCCAAGCGCTTTCAGTTGAGGAAAGCAGTGCCTTCCAATTCAAGATTCGGTCGCCCAGTGCCCATTTACCACCTGATTTGGGGGAGGCTTCCCCTACTAAAGTAGACTACAGAAAAAAAACCGGGTACCCTTATTCTAACCTTTCTACTGGAGGACCTAGAGGAGTCAGAAGAGAAAGCCCAGGAAGCTCGGTCAACGGACCGTGGGTGTGGGAAATCGCTTCGTTTGGTGAAGGAAACGAGGCGTTTGACTCCAAACCGCCCAGTGAGTGGTTTCCCTTTAAGCCCCATTTGCGCAATTTGTGGTTCCGTTGGATTTGACTATCTACACGAAACATAACTTGTACCTCCCAACCAGTTTTGTCAAAACACAACACACACGGCGTTTCCTTCATTTGGACGTGTCTTTTTGGAGTTGGTACTTGCGAAGGAGGAGGGGTTCCCCCAAACAAAGACACAGAAGTAGCAAGCTCAGGTAGTATCACTTTTTTTGCAGCCTTCTCTCAGCTGCGCGCGTCGAACCCCAAAACCTTAAGGGAAAGAAACGAGCCCTTTCCCAGCACCTAACATCAACTACAAAAATCCCCTGGGACCCCGGTGGAAGGAGCCTTTCCGATCTCGATTCCAGGTGGCGACCCTTCAACTCTCAGAGGGCTACGCCGGGTCCCAAGTCAGCAAGCGAGCTGACCGAACTCGAAACCCTTCTGGATGGGTCCATTGGGGTACCGATTTGGTTTGGCTCGGGGGAAAGCCAAGGGGAACCAACAAAGTATCGTGGGAAACCGCGGGCGCTCGTCGTTTGTTTGTTGCTTTGGAGTTGGCGCCCTATGCTTTAGCTTTTACAGGGAAGCCGAAAAGAAGAATGAAATATGTTGAGGCACGCTTGGTCTGAAAATAGAGCACCCAACCCCCCTGAAAAAGACACACTCGATGGAGGTGAGATTTTCTGCAGGGAATCCACCACTTCACTGTTCGGCAGTCCACTTCTGTGGCGCACCATTTTCCCGGTGACGACCAAACATGTTTCGGCGGGCATCGAAGTTGCATCGTTGATGCTCTATTATCTGGTTCACCACCAGGGTTGCAGTGCTGCTGATGGTGCCGTCGAAGTTCAATGTTTATGGCCCCCAACTCTTAAATCCAAAAGGGGTATCCCACATACATACTTCATGCCGGCAACCAAATAAGCTCCGGTGATATCCCCAACAGCATGCGGTGCTCTTTTTAGTGCTCGCACCACCCCGCAGCCCTCGCAGAACCTCGTGGAACCTTGGTGGAACACTGGTGGAACCCTGGTGGAACCCTGGTGGAACCTTCGTGGAACCTTACCTCAGGGCCGCCCCGGACCACCCCAGAGCCTATCTGGGCTGAGACCCCAAAGCTTTCAGCTGTTGGGGGAGGAAACATCATTCGGCCCAATGATTCCATGTACCTCTTTTGGCAGGGAACCAAGGGGTTTCCCTGTGGTTACCATAGTGGTAGCTGGGATCCATGATCCCTGTCCCGAACACTCCGTGTTACTCACTGCATTCCGGCCCAAATGGGCCGCGTGGTGGTTTTTGTTCACCTACATGAAGATA